TAATATGCTGTAAAGAATATTTTTAATATCTATAAACTCACATTTATATACATAAACCAATTTTAAAATTTGTTATAATGTTTGTGTAAAAGTCAATTTTTGATATTATTATCGACATTAAAAAATGGTTAATATATTCTTATATTTTTTAAATTAAAAAAACATGAATTTTTGAGATAAATAAATAAAATTGTTCCATTTTGTGCGATATTATTATATATAAAAATATCATCAATATTTTTCTCCTAGAAATTATGGCAATATTTGTTATAAGTTTTTAGATATACTTTTAAATACGAAATTTACGTTAGTCATATCACATTAGTTTTTTCTCTAGTTTTAAAGTAAACTATTTTCTAAATTCTTTTGTGAAGACTTTAGTATCTGGTAGGCCAGACTTTACTGCTGGACTTAGTTATCTATATTTGAGCAACACTGAGCTGGTCGGAAAACGAATTGGGTACGCTTTTGTTGGGTCGTGTGCCACCTGATCCCTTCGATTAAAATCATCCCCAGACCCCTTCATTATTTAGACGGTTTATGGCAATCCGTGATTGCACATAAACTTACCTTTTTGATGATGTCCGGCAAAGGCGAACTTTAATTTGCTTTTATGCTGCTGCTATTCTCTGTATGCGAAAGGTTAATGGGGGGATGCGGAAGGACCTTGAAATTAGTTGTCGAAACTTTTTGCAGAACTTTGGACGTAATGGAAAAAGCTTTTTGGAAACTCCAGAGATTTAAATTTAATTGTTTAGACGACCTCAAGATAAAATGAAATGCAGTCTTTACACAAATTAGGCAAATGAATACATAAATAAATGTTCATTATTTTAGCATCAGAAAAATGATTTAAAATGTACGAAAAATATAAAAAATACTACAGAAACATTGCTATTGTTTTAATTCATTTTTTTTTTTGCTAAACACTTGAGTTTAGTTTAACATATCTCAATTTAAGGCATATAAAATGTAGTATTAAATGTACGTGAAGAAATAGAATCATTTTAGCGTATGTGTTCCTTTTGAGTTATAGCTTTGTTTTCCATATTTCTTGACAATTTCCTTTGGGGCATGCATTTGTACCCGTCTCAGTTCGCCTTGCTGCTCTCTTTGTGGCAATCAAAACTTCAATGCAAATTATAAGAAATCGCTGGCATCTTCATCTCTGGCTCTGGCTTTATCGTGGTGAATCCTGCTTCCATGTCCTTTTGTCCCTTTTTGGTTGCTGTTGTTGCCTTCTAGCTGGGTTTCCATTTCCGCAAAATGTCACGTACAGCGAGGCAGCGAGGCAGCGAGGCAGCGAGCAACATGTCCAAACATGCAACAAACTAAATGTTTCGCCTTTAAAGCGTCGTGGCTCCATATCCATCCTCCTTTGCATCCCCAAATATCAAAGGACACAGCAGGCCATCAGGAGAGCGCCGGAAGCGCTGGCATATGCGCAAAAAAGGATGAAAAACGGAGCACAAGTCGAGGAAAACGGAACTTGAGGCTATGTATGCCTCCATTGCAGCTGCAGCTAGGGTGGATCGAAAGTTTTCCGGGCTGAAAACAGGAATTTAAACTAGTTTTTAAGAAACATTGGAAAAAAATGGGTTCAAAATGGATAACCTATGTATTTTTTATTTTTATTTTATTTTTATTTGGTTAACGGCATAGCTTAAGAAACTTATAATATTTTTGTAACAGTACCTTTGATTTTATAATTTAATAAAAAAATCTATTTCAATTTGTACAGTTGTCATCTCACCAAAAATTGTTTAAGTGCTTTTACAAATATGATCTCTGGTCTATAATCTAAAGATTCGTTTTGTATATAGTATATAGAATTACTATTAGAGAAACATATTTTTAAACATTTTTAATAAAAAAACTTAACTTTGTAGAGTTGTCATCTTACCAAAAATTTTTTTAGGTGCTGCTATAATTATAATCTATCCCAACAAAATCGAATTATAACAGTTTTTAAATTATAATAAAACAACAAAATTGCACTTTCCCTTTAAATTGTTACGGTCATTAATTTATCATGTTCTTTTTAATCGCACTTCTTTTCTTGACAAAATCGAGGGATGTCCTTTTCTTCGCAGTCACCTTGTAAGTTTTTTCTATTTTTTCTTTTTCGGTATTAAGGGGACAGCGCTACTTTGTACCGTCAAATGTCATCCGCCCGCGAATCGGCCACGCCCACGCCCAGTTAGGGCGGAGGGGCGTGACGTCATTGCTGGTGATGAGCAAAGAGAGCAAAATAAGAAATTGGAAACGAAAAAAAAAATAAAGTAACACATTGCTTTCCATTTTGCAACACACTTGAACATGCTTTCGCACTTAGACGAATGCGTAAAGGGCGATGAGGGGGGTTGCAGGGGGGTGAGTGTATGGTCTTGAGGTGTGGCTGCTATGCATTCCCCCACCCACCACCCCCACAATTGAAGTGTGCACTTTACACGCCTACTAAGACTCATATATTACTTACTTAGTTTGCGTTTTCTCTTAATGAAGAAGATTGAAAAATCAAAAAAAAAGGGGGGGGGGATGGTTTGGTGACCTCAAAAAATGGCTGGTGACCCAACAAATGGAGGGCAGGAAGTAGTCAAACAGTTGCCGGGACTAATTATAATTGACTTCACCATTTATTACTCCTCAAAATAAAGAACAAAAGGCTAAATTAAAATTTTTCAACTTACAGAGAAAGTCAATATTAATAGAATATCCTCTTTTTGAACTTTAAATTTAGCTTAAATCAAACCTTAATGTAATTTATTGTTTGCCCAACAAAAATAAGTATGCTTTTCTTCAATCGAATTTCATAAATAATTCCTTCGACAGATTTTTGGCCTAAGCTGGGGATTAAGGCACAATCTTCTTGGTGTTTTTTTGGCCCCAAGACAACTTTCTAATGGCCGCCGGGCGCAAAAAGGAAATTTACATCAAACCATAATCGATTTAGTTTGCTTCTTCTCGCAGCAAGGACACACAGGATAGCCGGGATAATGGCACCTTCAGGATAATGACCCTCCAAAATCCGATGTTTTGCCAACTATGGGATGGCCCAAAAAAAAAAAAACTGGACCCAAGGTGAACGCAAAGCAATGCGCGTCCTGCCAGCTGAAAATTTAATTACATCACAATGGCAGAGGGGGTGGAAAATTCTCTTCTAGTCAAGGGGGGAGGTGGTTCCAAGAAAAAGAGGCGTGGCAGCGAGTCCGAGCCAAGACAGCGCCACATTTTCCACATTAACGAAATGCTTTTAATTGTGCACTTAACGCTCGTAAAATGTGATTTAATAGTTTCGGCGAATGCCAAAGGGCAAAGGACACGAAAGAGGACAGGGGTAGCGAAGGGGTGGCGAAGGGGGGTTCTCTTTTTTGGGCGACGAAAAGGGAAGGCTGTGGTGAATGTCCTTCGTTTGGGCAGCAAAACGGAAACGGAAGTGGAAGTTGAAGTTGGCTGCGTTATAAGTTGGCGCAGTTCCTATTTAACCGCAACACAAGCACACACTGCCCAACACTCGGAGAAAAACTAGGCATGAATTGGGAACATGTTCAAAATAAACAATAATCTATAATAGTTTATAATAGTTTTGGAAATGGTATGTGCTAGCATACAAAGAAAACCATTTTTTTTATACATATTTTATTTTTTGGTCAAGGACTAGATACCTGCGGTAGTTTTGTAACTACTTGATACGCGTTTTTAATGTTTCCGTGAACTATAAACTAAATTGACAAAAAATAAAATCCGCATAACATAAGTATAATATTTTTAAATATGAATAAAATAGTTTAATAACAAAAGTTGCATTCCTTTAAAAAATTCAAATGAGCGAAGATGTAAGGCTTTTTCATTAAATTTGTATAAAATCATTTAATACCTTATATTAGAAAATAAATTTTTAGGAATTATCAACACTTTTCATTCCTCTGAAAAAACTATAATAATAAAAAAGTTTTTTTTATTCCAATTTGTTTATTGATAAGTAAACAATATGATAAAATAAAATAATAAGTATTTTTTAGCACTTTACATTGTTTATTTATAGACGGCAACTGTTTATAAAAAAAAACGATATTTTTTAAATCAAGAACATTTGGTAACTTGTTTTTCGCCCAGTGCAATTAGACCCGCACAATTACAGCCAGCTGACAGTCCAATTTGGGTCTGCATAGGTGCGAGCTTATCGGAGAGACTCCATCTCGATGGAACTCGGAACTCTGGACTCGGAACTCCGTCGCCTGACTTTGGGGAATTCTCCGGCCGTCGGCTGGCAAACAATAAAAGCCAACGGCTTGTGCTTTGTTCACACTGCCGACACGATGATGAGGGGATGGAGTTGGATGAGGGCTTTCCAGAGCTGAAATCAATACGAACTGGGTCACCAAATGGGTCCCTGTGCGGTCACTTAACCAGCAGCCAAGCACTCAGTCCCCGATGGCCAACAAACAGGCAGCATGTCGGACAATTGTCGTCAAGGAGCAGGGCATCTCGGGTGACAATCTGGTAACACGGGGCAAATAAGACCCAGATCATGGAACATTCACCTTCGTTTTGACTGACGACATCTAAGACAAAATCAAAGCCCAAAATTGTCACTTTACTATGGTTTTAAGTGGTTTATTGTTGGCCAATCGAGTTTCAAATAATCCAAAAATAAAGTTTTTTGCTAAAAAAAAAATTCTTTTTAAATTAGTAAACTATTTTAAAAAAAATTTTTTTTTTTTGGTAATTTGGCTATTTTTGAAGATTCCGATTTCATGCTGAATTTTTTTCAAAACTGAACTTCCTAAACCAAATTGGCATACCACTAAACGTTACCTTTGAACATTTTCTAAAAAATTCAGTTTTTAGAGGCCGATGATTTTAGGCAAAAGGTATAAAATTTTATTAAATTAATATATGATGCTCCAAAGACACCCCAATCTATTACTCATTTTTAATAATGTTTAATAGGTTTAATAAATATCTGTTAATTGATAAGCAAAATATTAGACACCCAAAATGATTGTATGGATTTATATCTATAAACATTGATTGATTAATAATTGTATGAATTTATATAGATTTATTATTTAGATGTCCTGCCGAATGAAACGATTTTTGAGGGCTAAAGCGAGGGTTTTCTTCACTGACTTGCCAACCTCGGAAGAGTTCCTGTTCAACGAAGTCCACGTTTTCGGTTAGCGAAAGTTGACGCCTCGGGACCTTGAAAGCCTCAGGACAGGATCTGATCGCCAAAATGAACTTAATCAAGCGTTTCGGGTGTCGAAGGGACTGTCGTAGGACCCACTAAGAGCTCCTTAGCTTCGGATTCGCCAAGTGTCGTCGCCTGTTCCTGCCCTCAATTGATTGTCCGTCACCGCAATAGCCACAAACTAGTGTGAACATGCCATCCTCCAAGTTCAAAAAACCATGCATCCAGCCGGCAGTCAACGTATTGTCCACCGCCAATCGCACCTCATCCACGGATTTGGCCTCCATTTCGGCCACGAAACCGGCCACTTCATCCAGAGTCAATGGTCTGTGGAATACGTTGAAGGCCTCCAAAATGTGATCGGCGTGCAGGTAGCGCGACATTACACAAAAGATTTCAAGGACTGCCAAAAATGACCAGCCTAAAACTAATTTTAAATGTTTGAAAAATGTTAAGTGAATTTTGAGTACTGGGTCACTGCTTCCTAACAAAAAGAAAACGTTTTCATGTTCAATGAAATCATTGCTTAAGTTTACAAGCATTATTACTGAGCTTTAAATAAAATAAATCTTTTTTTTTTACTAACTTACTTAAGTTATTTTATCATACAAAAATGTAATTGATCAAGTATCAGAAACTTTAAAATAAATGATACACAAAGTGATCCCTTAAATACCAAAAATGTTTAGCAAGACTCATTAAAAAAAAAAAAATATAAATTATATAATTACTTAAATCGTATTAAATCTAAGTGTATTCTAAAAAGGGTTGCGCATGATTGAGAAAATTTACAAGAAGAAAGTTGTTAAAATACTTTTAAATAGGAATAGCATTCGCTGACTTGTAAGCTACATATCTTTCCCATAAAGTTGGGAAAACATACTGCCAATTTAAGTTAGGCCAAATAGTTACTTTCCGGAGGGTTAGTCTTTAGGAAGTCTTCGATCTGGAGTTAAAGAACCATTAGGACGGACTCTAAGAGCCGCCTCTTTGCTCCTTGAACAAGTTTAAGGGCTTGTGGCTCATGGCTTTCGTTTATTTTGGCTGCTACCGTTCTGTGCTTTCCATTTGGCCGCCCCATTTGGGCGGTAATTTTCCCCTAAACCTCACATCAAACGAAACAGATGGAGAGGGGCGATTATATCGTTTACATTTACATTTACATTTACACCAAAATGCAGGAAAATTGGAACGCCAGCCATTCCCGTTTCCATTCCCATTCCCATTCCCATTCCCATTCCCATTTTCCTCTGACTCTTTTGGCCCATTTAGTTGTTTGCTGGTCGTTTAGCATTCGCATTCACTTCTAGATTTGTCATTTATGATAAGCAGTCTTGCCTCGAAAACGGCACGGCCGAGCCACTGTTTTCCGCCCTTTTAAGCCAGGAACTACTGTACTCCTCTGTATACATATCAGTGAAACATGTCCAGCTTAACTGCATTTGGCTTAGATGCAAATTTGAAATTCTGGAGGAGCTCTGTGAAACATGTAGAAAAATCTGAGAAAGAGATACATATCATTTTAGCACACTAATCGAAAAGAAATTGAAAGGAAAGCAACATAAATCGCTGGAAAAATCTATCAAAAATGTAGTCATGTAAAAGCATTGTTTATTAAAATATAAATTATAAATATTACTGAGTACTAAGCATTATTTTCAATGGGTTATTCTACTTATTTTTATAAATACTTTTTATTTAATCCTCATAAATGATTTTTAAATTGAAGTATGTATTATTTTTATACACATATATAATTATAAGGCGAAAATTCGGTATCACCGTTTTTATAAGGATACTTTAAGATTAATTTTTATCTCTTAACACACGTTGTCTTAATAAAATTTGTAAAACATAATTGGAGTTTGTATAATTTTTGAATTGATTTAAAACACACATTGGATTCTAAAACTATTTGTTTTTAGGGTTAATTATTTATTTATTTTTTGAGCAGTGAAATTCCACACATTCACATAAAGGTATTTTGTGCACTTGTTGTGTGTGGGCTGTCATAAATTCTTAAATGCATTTTGCTCGCTTTCTTGACAGCGAAAGGCATTGCATTACTTGTGCCAGAGGGCCTTGAAATGTGTCAAATGCCTAACAAGTTTCGTCCTGCCCTAATGAAATTAAGCAAAAATCGATGGAAAACGCCCCAGAAATATGGTTTTGCCTTTGACTTTGACTAATGAAAGTGCGAATTCCAAAATGCCAGATCAAAAACTTGATTCAGGACATTATTGCTTAAAGTAATTATAAATGCTTTTATTTTGTTTGCTTCGGATTAAATGTTAGATTAACTTAAATTACCGACAGTATTTTAAATTAAATTTTTGGCTTTCTAACGTTAAATTTGCCCACAAATAACAAGTCGAAAGTGCCAATTTCAGGCACTTTCTCTTTCCATTTCTACCAATATTTAATGATGCCTGCGGTTAACGATGCGGCTTTTAATTTGCCGGCCATTGGCAATCCATAATGGACTTTATATTGGATTTGAGCGGGGGTTTCCATGAATGAAGTATGCAAAAAGTTTGCAATTAATTCCGATCAATTATCGAATTAGTCGAGACAACTTTGTTCAATTAAATTCACGGAATTTCAGCTAATTTCATTTTGCACTCCACTGAATTTGTTTGTGTTGCTTAATTTTGCCCACTTTAAATTTTCTTTGAGCATACTTGTGTACAAGTGCTGGTTTTCAACTAATTAATGAAGATTATTTATGACTGGGAATAAACATGAATAATGCGAAATTGTTTGCTTAGAAAAGTTTGCCAAGAACTTCATTTGATTTATGTAAAGCAAGTAAAAACTATATCTTAAATATCGTTAGTTTTTTGTATTGTAGGAACCAAAAGAAACTTTATTGGAAAAAAACTTAGTGCCTGAATCCATTAAAATGGCCAGTTTCCTGAATTCTCACGTACAACAATCAATTACACCTCTCGAAATCCGCAGAATTAAGCCTTTCGGCATTGGATTATTTTTTTCGGAGCTCCTCGAAATCCCTGAACAAAAACAACAACAAGCCGCACAAGAAATAAAAAGAAAATTGCAACAAATCAAAGATCCATTTGGGTTTCGTTGAGTGAAAATTAACGTTGTCATTGTGAGTGGGTAAAAAAAAAAAAATTAAAAAAAAAAAAAACAAAAAAAAAAAACAGAAAAAATAAAAAAAAAAAAACGAAAGGAGCCAAATGTTTTGGGGCTTTCGGGTTCAGGTTTCGCCATTGTCCATTGATTGAAGCGTTTGTTGCGGCCAAACTGGGAAAGACTGAAAGGGAAATGGAAAATGGAAAATGGAAAACTGGGTAAAATGGGGAAAATGGGGAAAATGGTGAGGAGGATGAGGACGAGTCGAAACCGACACCCCGGGGCAAACAAAAATCAGTAGCAGGACAAGAGTGCTGTAATGGAGTTTTAATTGTGCCCCATCCTCTATGCGTTTTCCTCCTCCCTTCCCAGTCCACCCTCCACCCACTCCAATTTAGACATTCGGCCCCCTGGCATTTCCCGATTTTCCCGGGCACAAAGCGCAGCCAATTGGCAAATATGCTTTGACACACACCGGAGCGGATCGTTTTGGATCGAAAGGCCACAAAGTCAGTCTAACAGTTCAAAAGACCAAAGACCAGCCACCAACGGCAGCCAAATTTTGGATTCACTTGCGCTGAAAAGTACACCGCTAAATATGTTCACATTATTAAAAAAAATTTGAGTCTACTTGTATAGTTTTGATGAGTATTGAACAACAAAAGCATAAACAGTATGAATAAGAAAGAAAGTACATTTTGGCAAGCCAAAGTTTAAATACCCTGGCTACTTAAATATTCTTTAAAACTATATTTCAATTATATATATATATATTTATGTTTAAAACCTAGTTAAGCCTAGTTAAGTCGGCACGATATTATCGAGATATATTCAAATCAATTTAAAAACAATTTTTTTAATTATTTATTTATTTTTTCGATGATAAAGTCATCCGATTTCAAAAATTATATTTTATAACTATATTCACTTTAATATTAAGATTATTAAAATCTATCTAACTTTAGGCAAGAAGTTTTTCTATTTAAATATTCTGTGAACGCATCAATGTCTTTTGGTTATTATACTATTTTTTGTGTAATAACTCCTTCAGGTATTATTTTTTTTTTTTGTGTATGCTGGCTTCGCTTACACACATTTACTGGTTGTGTGGGGGGGGTGGGAGGGTATGCCCCTTCCCCCGTTCCGGAGGAGGTGGCAACCGGACCCGGAGATAATGCCAACCATCAGAAACACGCTCTAAGCGCGCATTGCCCAATGAGCCGCAGTCGGGTGCAACAAAAAGCGAGAGCCAAAGCAAACATGCACAGGAATTCAGCCGAATGGGATCGCATTGAAGCACAATTGCCCTACACTTCAAGCATATAAACTCTACAAATGATTTGTATAAATAATAATAATTAATAAATAAAAAAAAAAAAAAAAAGGAAACAATCACATTTATATACATATATAACGATTTTTAAATTTTTGTTTTTTATGTAGAAGATTTACTATTCGAGGCTTTCTCCACTTAATGAACCAACTGTATGAGAAGATAATGTGCCTAAAATTCAATGTTCTACGCTCCCCTTTCAAAAATCCCTTCTCAAATTCACATAATTCCACTTCATTTCAATCTGAATGCCAATTACCTCGCATAATTTCATGTCCGTTGGCCGCCTATTGTGCTTTTTGAAATTATGCACTAAATCTGAAAAGGATTTCGATGTGCAATAAGCATTTATTTCCTCTTGTTATTGCCCTTATGTGTAATCAATGCTGGTCTTGATTGCTAATGCCTTTAATTTGAGTTTTAATTTACACAAGAACAGTAATATTTCTTTAAAATAAAATATAATTTGATGATTAAATTAAAAAAAGAATTAAAAAAAAAAAAAGCAAACTCTAACAAAACAAGTTGCAATCCATTATTGTTTATAAGAAACACTTTTATAGAGATGAAAAGGTGAATACAAAAATGCACTTACATCTTTGATTGGGGCTGCTTTGCAGGTTAATTGTGGATGAAAAATGCAGCTTATAGCTGCCTGTAAATCGCACGGACTGGCTGTTAATGTTGCAGGTGTGCTGTTGAAGGGAAATCCTATGGGATGGACAGGTACAGACATCCAGTGCGCGGTGGTAATTAAAAATTTATTGAAAATTGATTTTTAAGCGCTCATCCCAGAAGGCAACGGCGCAGTTTGCTGTGTCGCAGTTGTCGCCTCCCAACGGTCAACGCTGTCTGCCGGCCAGACAGTCACCTCATCATCCTCTGCATCCGCATCCACATCCACATCCGCATCTGCATCCGCATCCCATTCCCTAGACGTCTTAATTGCAACGTTTAAAAAATTTCCATAATTTGCCTGTCTGACTGTTTGCTCGGCACTTCGGTGCAGAGACTACTTGCTCCCTTTGTTGTCCATCAGTTTTTGCTTTTCCCGATTTTATGCCTTGAATCTATCAATAAACAAATTTGTAATTAATTAAATTATAATATATATAAAGTTCACATTATATGAAGGAAAGGCATGCATTATATCACAAATTTTGGCTAATTTTCTTTCATAAAATTTATTGAAAACTTCGAAATGTTTTAGCAGAAATAATTTAAAATATCAATCACTATGGCTGCATTTTTTTACTTAAAAAGAACAAAATTATGGCCAAATATAAATAATTGTTAATTAAGAATTTGTTTTTTTTTTTTTTTAATTATTATCAGAGGCTTGCATAAACTACAATTTTGGCTCTTTATTTATTATCATTAACTTTACATTTCGAAATTTTTCAATGATTAAATATATATTACAAAATAAATTATGATTCAAAATAAATAGTTCTTGTGTAAATAATTTTATGCAAAATACTTGACGTTTCATTTTAAGCAGAGAAGTTTTACAGACATAATCGAGTTAAGGCGTAAGAATCTTCAGAATCGTAGAAATTAAAATTAGACAAACTTTGGGAATTAGGAATTTAATGCTTAAGAGTTTGCGTTTTTGTAAATGGCAAGTTTTACAGACTTAATCGAATCAAAACGTCGATTAATGCTAGTTTTCATTATCATATAAAGCATTATATTTGTAAAGACCAAAATTATACCCCGAAATAGGGAATAAGGGATTTTATGCTTAAGAATTTGCGTTTTTTTAGATGACAAGTTTTACAGATTTCATCGAAGCCAAACGTTGATTTATGTTCATTTTAATACCCATATGAATCACAGAGACCATAATTATAGCCCAAAATAGGGAATACAATGTGTTATTCTAAAGAATTCGCGTCTTTAAAAGCAAATAAGTCCTTGTTTTATACCCAAAAACCGCACATACGTTATCCTGTTGATGTCCTGCAACAGCAGCCTATTTGTATGGCACCTCCATTCCGTTTAGCGACGACCCCTTCGCGATTCGGCTGCCGCCTTCCTGAAGCGATTATGCGATCCGGCGCCAAATTGCTTGCCAGCTGCCAGCAGCGCCGTCGAGCCGGCCACCTCGTCCTTCTCCGGCAAATGGGCCACATGCAGGATGTCGTACAGCAGTTTGGCGCTCTCCTGCGACTGCAGCAGCTCCTCCAGCTCCTTTTGGCTGCGCAGCAACAACTGCCGCAGGCTGCCACCCTTCCGGAGTAGCCCGTGTATGTTGCGCGTCTGAACGCCGGGCAGACGTAGCAGGAAATCGTAGATGCCGCTATTGAAATGCAATTGCTCGCCGGCCGTTGGCTCGTCACTGCCGACGGCCACCGCTTTTTGGGGATCCGGTTCGGGTTTGCCCAGTTTCAATTCCTCAAAAAGCTGAGCGGTGGCATACGGACTGGGTGACCAAATGAGTCGCAGCCTTGGAAAGTGCAGCGTTAGCAGTTGCAACTTCTGCACTATATCCGCATTGGCCATGCTCGTCTGCTGTGAGAGCATGAATTTACCCTGCAAATGAAACGGTTTGTTCTGATCGAATTCGATCAGTAAAATGGGTTTCGCATAGTGTCGTTGCATCTGCACACACTGGTTGTACAATCTGCCCGAGTTCAGGGAACCAATTAAATCCGAAATCGACTTGCGTTCCACACAAATATCGGGCGTAAGTATATAGTCGCCAATCGTAATGGTCAGGGGCAGCACTTCCAGGCCGCGCTTGTGAATCAAGCAAGGCAAATCCGATCGAAACTCACGCATATCCACAATGACTTTGGGCGTCTCTTTGGGTGCCTGCGATACCTGGCCACCTGCCTGACGGCTCTTGGCATTTTCCCCAGCCAATTCATCATCATAGTTCTTGAAGAGCAAGAAGGCTTCATCGGTTTTGCCGTCCTGGTACTCGGGTATCACCATTTTCTATTACAATTAAAATTACAGTGAGATGTGAGTTCCAATGAATGTGAGTTGAAATAATATAAAACTCACACTTTTCGTATCGATAATCAACTCAAAGGCGGCTTTCTCGCGACGCAAACTGGTCAGATAGGCCTGCTCCTCCACGGTGCGTGCATGGATGAGAAAATAAACCTTTAGTCGATCTGCAGGCGGCAGGCGACGCCTGGCTTCAAAAACCTCCAGCTGCCGTATGGCGGTCACATTCGTATTGTACATGACCACATAGTGCGGCTGCAGTTGCTCCAGCATGTGCTCCAGTGCCATTGCACCCTCGGATTCCGTTTTGAAGGTCTGCAGACAGATGTACGGCTGATGCGGCACCGCCGCCAGTGCCGCTGTCACATCGAATTGCTCCAGTTCTGGTATGGTTTCGAAAATGGACATATCTGGATCGAATTTAATGTCCAATTGAGGCTCCTGCTGTGTCACCAACCGCTGTGTCATGGTTAGCATGTAGCTCTCCTCAAAGTGCTGGCCCTCTGCCTCCGTTTCGCTTAAAAGCTGAGCCAGTTCATCCAAACCGGCAGGAGTTTGAGAACTAGAAGCCTCCTCTTTAAGGGGCTTCTTCAATGCAGAGGATGGAGCTTCGCGGCTGCTGCTGCTGCCTTGGCTCTCTTTGGCATACTTATCGCTCAGTTTGCCCACGGGCACCTCATGATGCAGGGCCTGTTGGAGGAGAAAACGTGGCCCACCTTGCGTGAGATATTGTTTTAACTGATGGCACGTGCGTGCATCCTGGCAGAGGATCAATACTTTTGGCTGTTCCGTACGCCTACAGCGACGCATATCGCCGGGTATATCCTGGGTGAGCAGATCCGTGAGAGCCTGCCATTTGGGACACGGTTCGGGCTCAAATTCTAGGCGATTCAATAGCTAATAACTTGTATTTCATTTTGGTGCTTATAAGCTTACCCTGCTGTCCATTGAAAACACGTTGTTTCGAGAGCTTAAAAATCTGCTCGGCGGCATCCAATAAAGTCCAACCAGAATTACTTAGGGCATATTCCGTGCTGCGATAGCGTTTCATCAAGGCATATGCACTGACGGCATCGTGGTACATGGTGGAGCTATAGAAATACATTAATTTAATAGTGAAAGACATGGTACAACTACAACTCATAGTCATACATCATCAGACTGCGCAGAATCTTGAGATCGGCCACAATTAATTTGGTCTGTGAATTGAGCTGATGCCAGATGCAATCCAGCTGAGCCTGCAGTATTTTATGAAACTTCTTGGTCACACAGTTCTCCACGGTGACCGCATCCATGTCAACGGTGCGATTAATCCGCTTGATTTCCCGCACCAGAAAGTTCATTATGTCCAGAATGTGGGTTTGAATCGCGGTCATGCTCTGGCTGAGAGGCACATGCAGCTCGATTGTTTGTGTCTGCCACGGCTGCAGGGTGCCACGAACGGTGGCATGGAATCTTGGCCAAATGTACAAATGTTTCACGAACAGATTGCGCATGGTGCGCTCCACATGCGAGTAGCCAATGGTGAAGGCCTCCGGACTGCTGGAGAATGCCTTCACGAAGCCGGTTTTATTCTTTTGCCGGTACAGCCGCAATGCGAACGCCTCCTGGCAACTCTCGATGATGGTGTGCGCCCGCAGGACAATAATCCCGGTGATCAGCTCGATGGGAATGCGCTGCTTCAGCAGATCCACCACCAGGATACGGGTGCTGATGAACTGCAAGCCACCTTCCACATAAACTCGCTCTCTGGAAATTGAAAAACACATTTGTTTATAATAAATTCAAATTTAAATTGCAGTCCAAAGAGAAAAATCACTAATCAGAGTGAAAGGGGAGCTCATTAAACACTGTTACCAGAATATTATTAATAAAATATTCATGTTTTTAAGTCTAAGAACTAACCTGTTTTAAAATTGTATGAGTAATTTATATATATTCAATTTAGAAGCTTAAAAAATTATTATAACAAAGCAAAAACTATCAAAATTATTGACCATATAAAACGCTTCGAGTTTAAATCCTGTTAATAATTTAGTTGATTAGTTAATATGGATATATGGATTCTTTAAGAAATATTATAATAAAACGTTGATCACAAAACCCGTCATTAACCCATTTTAATGTGATTTTTCGCATTCACCTTTCTGTAGCCGTATTGGCCACCTCGTGGACATATTTGGGTTCCATTTTGGACTTGAAATACTTCTCCTCCCAGTCGGAACTGTTGATCACGAGTACCAAATTCCCCGAGTCGCTGTAGGCCTTTAATATATTGATCAAAACGCGTTCGTAACTCAGGCCCCTGTAGGGATTATAAATCTGGATTAATTTGGTGCATACGTAGCTATAGCCTACAGGTCTTACTTGGCGCAAACTAGAAGACCATCGGCCTGAACCTGATCGAGAAACATTTGTTTTTCGTATTCCAAGAGGACCACATCCTTGCACATCAAATATTCCTCGGCTGTCACGATATTTGCCAGATCCTCGTCCTCCTGAAGAGCGGCGGTGGTCTCCAGCAGTTTGGCGGCATCCAGTTCCTCCGGCTGCTCCTGTTCCGCCAACTTTTCTTCATTTTCCGGCTCCAAATCGGACATATTTGAATTAAGCTCCCAATTGTATTTCGCAACTTGATAAATCTGCCGGTTTAATTCAATCAGCTGTTCGGAGCTATCGATAAGCGATTGCGACAGAGCTGCCGGATCGGTATAAATTGTTTAGCAATATAGAAATACAGTGGTTACTACGTGTGTGTGTCAAAACAATCGTCATGCACTTTGCCAAATATGCTTAATTTTATAATATTTAAAACTAGTTTATACTCTTGTTAAACTAAATCTTATAACAGTTTTTGCTTCAAATGGTCCATTTCACTAACATTTTGGTGACCGCAAAACAAATAAAACAATAAAATATATATATTATATGGTATATTAGTTCTTTAAAACAGTTTCGTTGTTATCTTTATAAAAATGTTTAAAGTATCTGTGGAGTTAGGTATTATAATTAATCAAGAATGTTTAAACCATTTATTTATAATTTAAATATTCTGTTATCGTAATTTGGTAACGTTAACTGGCTATTTACTGTACTTGCAACCACTGATCTGGCAACTCTTGCCGCTGTTTGCTTTGATAATCGATAACCATAGAGAAGACCGGCAATATTAACTGTAAATGCAAGCACGTGCAGCAAGCCATTTTTAAAGTTCAATTTTATGTCAGAATATAGCAATATACCCCAGTAATTCGTTTCGTTATTTGTGTAGGTCTGTTAAAGCTGCATTTGCGTTGTTATATAAAACTAATTTCATTTTCCAAATCCGTAGAATAATGCCAAAAGCGGTCTCATCCTCGGGCAAAAAGTCCAAGAGCCCAAAAACTAACGGTACAGCTAAAGCCAAGAAAACGGCAAATTCTGATTTCGATATAGATCTAGAGGATTTGATGTATGATGATAGTGACACCGATGGTGCACTCTCTTGGAGTGACGTATCCAGCCAATCCTCACCAGAAGCGGCTGCCACCGTGAAGGGCAAATCGAAGGCAGCCAGGGCCACAGATCGCAAAAGACCTTCCCCGCCAGAGGATGCCAATGGCAACAAAAAGCAGGCGGGAAAGCAGGCGACCAAGGAACCAACTGCATCAGCCGCATCCAAACGCAAGCAACAGAGGCGCAGTGTGGGATTGGAAAAAACCGAGCCAATTCTGGTGAATGGAGGCGCTCCAGCCTGTCCCTTGGTGCGAAAATCTCTGCCAGCAGGTAAAGCCAGTTCCACAGCCGCCAAATCACCGGCAGCCAAACCCAAATCATGTCCCCTGCCCAAAAAGGGCAAAGCTAAGAGCCCGTTGATTAAACTGGAAACACCAGAGGATTCCGAGGAGTCGAACAAAGAAGAGAATACAAGCTTTACACTGCAATGGGGCCGCAGTAGCAGTCTCAAGCGACAAGATGTAACCCCAACGCAGCCAAAAGAGGTCCACAAGACCAACAGCATCGAAGAAGGTCGTCGCATTCTACAGTGGATCATCAATCCCGTTCTGCCGGAGAACTTTTTCACCGACTATTGGGAGAAGAACGCCTGCCTGGTGCAGCGCAAGAATCCCAAGTACTACAGCGATCTGATCTCCTTCAAGATGATCGATGACATGCTGATTCGTCACCATTTGCAGTTTACCATCAATTTGGACATAACCAGCTATAAGGATGGCAAGCGTGAGACCTTGAATCCCGAGGGCCGGGCCATGCCGCCAGCCGTTTGGGGCTTCTATGCGGATGGCTGCAGCATACGCCTGCTAAATCCATCCACCTATTTGCCAGGACTGCGACAGGTGTGCAGCATATTGCAGGAGTTTTTCCATTGTCTGGTTGGGGCAAATGTCTACCTGACGCCACCGAATAGTCAGGGCTTTGCACCCCATTACGATGACATCGAGGCGTTCGTTGTCCAAGTGGAGGGACGCAAGCGTTGGCGCTTGTACGAGCCGCCGCAGAAGTCGGATCTGCTGGCCCGAATCTCGTCGGGCAACTATGATCAGGAGCAATTGGGTCAGCCAATACTCGATGAGGTGCTGGAAGCCGGCGATGTCCTGTACTTTCCACGTGGCACCGTTCACCAGGCAATCACCGAAGAGAATCAGCACTCGCTGCACGTCACACTGAGTGTGTACCAGCAGCAGGCCTATGCCAATCTGCTCGAGAAACTAATGCCCATTGTTCTCAAGCGGGCCGTCTCACAGAGTGTGGCCCTGCGTCGCGGACTACCGCTGCACACTTGGCAAGTTTTGGGTGAATCACAGTCTCGCTCCGTCCAGAGCCAGTCGCGCACTCAACTGTTGGAGAATGTCCAGAATTTGGTTCGCAAACATTTGATGCCCTCCGCAAAGGAAATCGATGAAGCCGTTGATCAGCTGGCCAAGAAGTTCCAGCATGAGGCATTGCCACCGACACTTTTGCCCGAGGAAAAGTTACGCACTGTTTTCGGTTCCCGAAATGAGGTAAATGCCCAGGGCTATTGCAACTGCGACTATATCATCACGGAGCAGACATCCGTGCGCTTGCTGCGTGCCAACATCCTGCGCCTTGTCAAAGAGGAAGATGGCGGCAACGTGAGGATCTATCATCATATGGACAATGCCCTGGAGTACTGCAAGTACGAGCCCACCTTCATGGAGATTCTGCCAGCGGAAGGGGCTGCCGTTGAGGTTCTAATTGCCGCCTATCCATCGTACATCAAGGTGGGCCAGTTGCCCATGAAGAATGCGGATCGCAAGGTGGAGGTTGCCCTTGCTCTGTGGGAACGGGGTCTCCTCATGACTGAGAAGCCATTATATGATGAAGATCGTTAAGAATTTGGATCATTACTGGATCTGGATACAAAAAAAATTTTAAAATGTACTGAAATCACCGAGAGAAACAAGAGAAATGTATAAATTAGGTCAATAACAGATGACTGCAGAAGATGTGATGCGGATTCTTGAAGCCAAGACCATAAAATAATTAAGAATTTTTAATAGGATGTCATAAAACCAATCCAAGATCCAGGGCATGCTAAATAAATCCCAGGGGGATCAAAAATGTCATAGAATTAATATCCCAACTAAAGTTCGTTGGATTTTTTGTTTTTTGTATAATAAATTATAATATGTAATTCTCAAGTTATGCTGGGAAATCAATCACATTTGTTGTTTCTTTTAAATGGTTGTTTTATTGACACTAACTAAAAAGGGAATATCAAAAATAAATGGGATACTCCTTAGGCGCTGCGGATTTTCTTGCGTTCGCGATACAGGCTTTCCTGTTGAACTGCAAATAAACAAAGTAAAGTAAAAGAAACCCGCTATGATTATTACACTTTAAGGGAACATAAATTAAAGTAAAAAAAATTATCTTGAAATAGTAAATAAAGGTAATGTTTAAAGTGAACTAAATACAAGAGGTTAAAATTAAATCAGTTGAAAAGAGAAAAAAATGCCCTTGGTGTGCAGGCTGAGCAAATTTCTCGTAGGCAGTACTCACTGTACGGATCGAAGCGTATTATCTCCAATTTCTCGGCCAAACGATCCCGAAAGGCATTATATTGATGTCCACTGACCACACTTTCCAGCACAACCATGATTCGCCTGTAAAACCCATAGTTATTAATGAAAAAAGGCAGTTTGGAAACCAATCTCACTTACTTGCTCTTCACTTTCTTGAATAAAACACTGGTTAGACGCATTTTGTTTCAGTAAATTGTAGAAAACTTAGTAAAATATTGGAAAAATGCCGCAAAATTGTTGTGCAAGCAAAACGATAAGTACGTAAAACAGCTGACAGCTGTGCTTATCGATAGTCAGGTGGCTTGCGACAGAGCTGCCAGATAGGTCGATGCTAAGCTCAGTGCGCGAGTTACCGCACACATTGTTGCGGACACATCGCCGCCCCCCAAACCTCAGCGACTCAACCAAATGGTCATTAACCCAAACACTGGATACAAACGCTGAGTTTGGGGAACCAACGGAAGTAAGCAGAACCAACACTTAACAGCTACGCGAAACCACAACCAAACAACACACCAGATATGTCAACTAGGCAGATTCTCACCCCACTCGAATCTGCTGGATATGCGAATTCCCGATCACACCATTCCATTCTCATATATTCCACTGTATCCCATAAGTTACTTCTGAGTTTGTAGAACAATAAAGAATCATTATAATTTTGACCGAAGACGAAGCAAGTCCTCTTTTCTTTTGGTATCAGAAGTGGGATATTCCCCCCCCAGTATCAGCAGATACTGTAATTGGCGCAGCCGGTAGGATTAAGGAGATCTCACAATGCTCCAGCTCCTGATCATATTATACCTGTAAGATAGGTAAGTGAACAAATGGTGGTGAAACTAAGAGGAAGAAAGAAAAGTAAGGAAAAATGAAATAAATAATTTGGACAAAAATATGAAAAAAAATTTAGTGAAAAGTGATGAACCAAATTCACGCAAGTGTACAGTTGTTAGTGTTCCCTCAAGATGCGACCAAATACGTGCACATCAAACGCTGATAAGGCACCCGGTCCGCATTATTGAAAAACAAAAATAAATAGTGACAAATTCATAAAATCACACACAACCAAATGCAAAAGAAAAACTTTTAAGATTCGTGACCGAATATGTGCACATCAAACACGATAAGGCACCGGGATCACGCAATCAACAAATACAGAAAATCTTTTATACACAAGCTGTAAATTATTTACAATTGTCAAAATTTGTGACCGAATATGTGCACATCAAACGCTGATAAGGCACCGGGACCACATAAAAAAATAAATACACTGAAAAAAAAATCCTCCATTTACAAACCGTAAATTATTTACAACTGTCAGAATTTGTGACCGAATATGTGCACATCAAACGCTGATAAGGCACCGGGACCACATAACAATAAATACACTGAAAAAAAAATCTTCCATTTACAAACCGTAAACTATTTACAAATTATTAAAGTCTGTGACCGAATATGTGCAAATCAAACGACGATAAAGCACCGGGATCACATACCAATAAAATACACAGAAAAAAAAAACATCTTTTACACACAAACTATAAAACATTTACAATTATTAGAATTCGTGACCGAATATGTGCACGTCAAACGCTGACAGGGCACCGGGATCACGTAGCTGAAATACAAATTTTGTTTGTCTCTCTCTTCACTTGAGTTGAAACTGCTGCATCGGCAGTTTTCGCTTGTTGTGCTGGAGAGCGAATAAATACCCCCAACTATACACTAAACGAGAAATTGGATTCAAACAATTATGTCATATTATAGCTCAAAGAAAATAATAATAAAAAAATTATATAAACCTCTTTCTTAGACGCCATATGTTCACTTGCCTATATTCAATTATATTATCAAATTTTAAACAAATCACTAACTCTATTTATATATGTACATTACAGTCAACACTAAGAAAAACGACACAGGGAGAGGATACCAACGAGAAAACACACAATAACTAATCGCAACAAGTAACATCTACACATATTAATACTAATCATATTAATTATAAGATTCAAACATTAATTATAAGATTCTATAACATAAGGAAGTCAATTAAATGTTAAAAAAAGTTAACGCAGCTAGTAGAAGATTAGGTTTGAGAAGTAGGGGCAGTTTGCTAGACCTAGGAGAAATTGAGGAAGAAGAACAACACGACCAAACAAACCAAATTTCTAACCCCATCATGAATCCTTTAGACTCCGGTAACGCATCAGCCTCCCTCAGTCCCACAATTAGCAACTCAACGACTATCATCAACACAACTTTGAACGCGAAAGATATATTAGCATTCGTACAACATTTACCAACTTACGAAGGCCCCAATGATAACCTGGAAACTTTTATTACTAGTGTTGAGGACTTACTAATGCTCATTCGATCTATAGATCAGTCGACGTACGGGCAAATGATCCTCATGTCTATACGACATAGAATTAGAGGCAGGGCACACGAGGCATTGAACCTTTGTAATACACCACTTATCTGGGACGAAATTAAAGCAAACCTTAAACGACTTTACACTTGCAAGAAGACGGAAGCTATATTAATCCGAGAAATTCAAACCTTACCAAGCGGACTCTCTATTAATAAACTATTTTTCTCAATAGCAAAGTTGAGGGGCCAACTGGTATCATTGGCTAAAAATTCGAACCGAGACGCTCAAAGTATCACAGAGAAACACGCCCTATACGCCGACATCTGTCTTAATGCATTCTTTGTCGGATTAAACGGCCCATTAAAAACAATAATTAGATCCCGAAATCCAGAATCTTTAGAAAAGGCTTACGAGTTAGCTCAGTCGGAACAGAATTTTTATCACCAAAATTCTAGCTCTACCGGTAACAACAATAATCGTTACCGCGACAATTTTAATGATCAACAAAATAATAGACACCGCGGAAATTCGGGCGAACGAAACCGCCCATATCAACGTTATGAACAGAACCAAAAACAATCGGACAATAATAACACTAAAAAGAACGACTCACGACAGACATCCCAAAACCGTCAAGAAAGCCACTCAACTAGAAACCAAAACCCATTCCGGGGTAATTCAAGACCAAATGACAAAACTCCTACTGCTTCCTGCAACATCAATGATGGTGCAAATTTTTCACAAGAAGCCTCGGAAAACCAGTCGGATTCTTAAACAAAAAGTCCCATGGGAACTCTTTACCTTATGTCCTTTTATCTTCAAAATTTTTTACAACTAATCCACATAAATTTCTCATAGATACTGGATCAACTTATTCTTTTATAAAACCAGCCTTAATTTCAAAAGACCACATTAAGGAAATAAACGCTCCTATTGACATTCATACCGTTCTCAATAAATTCCAAATCCAAGAATATACAGACTCTATTATTTTTGAACAATTCAATTCAGCAAAAGAACCAAAATTCTTCTTATTTGATTTCCACCCACATTTTAACGGTCTCTTGGGTATGGACTTTTTAAGTAGCTTGGATGCAAAAATAAACATAGCGGACTCTGTTTTAGAAATAAAAAAGGCCTCTTTGCCGATCCTAACAAGCACAAACCCGGTAGACACTACACATACCGTACCACTAAATACGAAGATCAGATTGTCACTCCCCGTAAACATAATGGAGGGAGATTTCTTATTCGAAACTACAACCCTAAACAATGACTTATCTATCACAGGGGGACTATATACTGCACTGGATGGCTTCGCACACTTCGAAGTCTGCAACACATCTGACTATGACCAAACACTATTCCTAGAAGAACCGTTACAAACCGAAACGTCTCATATACGAGACTATGATTATTTGAACTGCATGTCCGCGGGGGAAACCCCACAATCCACAGACTTACAGACCAAATTGGAAATTCAAACGGGACACTTAAACGACGAAGAAACACAAAATTTAATTAAACTTTGCAAACAATTTAAAAAACTATTCTACAACGAGAATAATCAACTTACGTTTTCAAACGTTGTCAAACATTCGATTCCCACAGTGGACGACGTCCCCATACATACAAAATCATACAGATACCCTTTTATACACAAAGAAGAAGTTCGTAAACAAATTTCAAAAATGCTTCAACAAAATATTATCAGAAATAGCCATTCCCCTTGGAGCGCACCTGTATGGGTCGTACCTAAGAAAACCGATTCGTCAGGTCAGAAAAAGTGGCGATTGGTAATTGATTTCCGTAAATTAAACGAAAAAACGATTTCAGATAGATATCCGATTCCTAATATAGCAGACATATTGGACAGTATAGGGAAAACTAAATATTTTACAACAATCGATCTGGCTAGCGGTTTTCATCAGATTGAGATGAATCCACGTGATGCTAACAAAACGGCGTTCACTGTCGAAAATGGACATTACGAGTTCACGAGAATGCCTTTCGGTCTCAAGAACGCACCTGCGACATTCCAGCGCGTTATGGACAACGTCCTGGGGGATCTGATAGGAAAAATTTGTCTCGTGTATCTCGACGATATTATTATATTTTCCCCTTCACTGCAAAGCCACATAACAGATATTAAATCTGTATTCACTAAATTACAAATTGCAAACCTGAAAATACAACCCGCAAAGTGCAATTTCTTAAGAAAAGAAATTGACTTTTTAGGACACATTGTTACACAAGAAGGAGTAAAACCTAATCCCGACAAAATTCAAGCAATTAAGAATTTCCCTTGCCCAAAAACTGTTAGGGAAATTAAGTCCTTTTTAGGCCTACTGGGTTATTACAGGAAGTTCATAAGAGACTTCGCCAGAATAACCAAACCTTTAACCAGACAATTGAAAGGAAAAAAATCAATAGTGATAGACGAAGAATTTAAAGAGGCAGTAGCCTATTGCAAAAATCTCTTGTGTAATGACCCGATCCTAGCTTACCCTGATTTCTCGAAACCGTTCACTCTGACCACGGACGCAAGTAATTACGCCATAGGCGCAGTATTATCTCAAGGTCCGAACACCAACGATAGGCCTATCTCATTTGCCAGTAGAACACTATCTGACACTGAAGTGAGATATTCAACAATAGAAAAAGAAATGCTTGCGATTGTTTGGTCTGTAGGACACTTTAGGCCCTACCTTTTCGGTCGCCGATTCAAAATAGTGACCGATCACAAACCGTTAGTCTGGCTAGAAAATCTTAAAGGCCAAAACCCAAAATTACTTCGGTGGAAAACCACCCTAGCCGCCTATGACTACGAAGTAGTCTATAAAAAAGGATCACAGAACGTCGTCGCTGATGCACTCAGCAGAATAGAACCCAACCTAAATGTAAATGAAGATCCAACAAGAATTAAAATCGATCAAAAACCACTAAACTATTTTAACATCCAAACAATATTTCAAATCGGTCCATCAATTCCGGTACAATTAATTACCCCATTCCCTCACAAGATAAGACGCATATTTTCAGAACCAGAATACACATTCGACGCAATCACAAAAATATTGCAGACTATTTTAAGGCCAAACAAAACGCATGCTATACTAGCACCAGACAACGTCTTCTTTATAATTGAAGAAGCATACAACAACTACTTTACAGGAAATAACCTGTATAATATTTGTCGTTGCTCATCAATTCTAACCGACCTTTCTGATCCGCTAGAACAGAAACAAAAAGTTCAGTCATACCATCTTAGTAGTAACCACAGAGGTATCGACGAGACCCTTAACCACCTTAAAAGAGACATTTATTTTCCACGTATGAAAGAAATTATTACACAAATAATTAAAGACTGTGACATTTGCCTAACACTCAAATACGATAGACAACCTCACAGACCCTTTTTCCAAACCCCACCAGCACCAACAGGTCCCTTAGACATTATCCATATTGACATTTATGTAATTAACAATACAAATAACTTGACCGTCATTGATAAATTCTCGAAATTCGCACAAGCGTATCCACTAACCAATAGAAATTCAATTAAAGTAATAGCAGCACTATCAACATTTTTCAGTACCTTCGGCCTACCGAAGAAAATTGTCTTCGACCAAGGTGCAGAATTTTCAGGAAATCTGTTCACCGATTTTCTGACCCAGTATAATATAGAAATTCACACCACCTCTTTCCAACAATCGACGGGAAACGCACCCGTCGAAAGACTCCACTCGACATTCACAGAGCTCTATAGAATAGTTGATAACCGCAGGAAGGAGCTTCAACTCCAATCCGATCACGCGGAGATATTTGCAGAGGTATTGACAACATATAATAATGCAATACACTCTAGCACTGCTCATACACCGTTCGAACTTTTTCATGGCAGAACCCACATGTTTGACAAAACAGTAAAATTCGACAACCATCACGACTATTTAGAAAAACTGAATGAATTCAGGAAAGAAATATACCCTAAAATCCAAGAAAAATTAGACAACCAAACGGAAAAAAGACTAACCAAATTAAATGAAAATAGGGAACCACCAATCCAAGTTGAACCGGACGATGTCATCTTTAGAAAAGAAAATAGGAGAAACAAGCTTACACCTAGATTTTCCATGCACAAAGTCAGGACCGACAAAGGAGTCACGTTACTAACAACCAGACAACAAAAACTACACAAACAGAAAATAAGAAAGATAATCAGGAAAAATAATAACACTCAATGAACTACTTCATTCCAGAACCACCCATTCCGCCACGCAGTCCTTCTCTTTAGAAAGACTCAACGGATCTTCACCCCTCGCTTTCATTCATCTGGGAGACGCTCGTATAACACAAAGCCATACAATCCTAACCCATGTCGTTGACGTCCAAGAGTTTAAAGAATGCCTTACCGGAATAAAAGATACATTAAAAGCCCTTAGACTAGATGAAACATTTAACATTTCGCTAGGAATTATAAAAGGGAAACTGCAACAGCTAGAAGCCAGAATAGACACCTTACTCCCTCACGCTAGAACAAAAAGAGGTTTGATTAACGGCCTAGGGACTATTCTCAAGTCAATTTCGGGTAATTTAGACAACAACGACGGACAAAACATACTCGCAGAACTAAACACCTTAAAAGTTACCTCACACATATTAAAAAATGGTCAAGACAAACAAGAAAATTTTAATAAACAGGTCATAATTAGACTCAGTAATATTACGAATCACATAAATAACGAACAAATTAAAATACAAAAATTCTTAGACACAGCACAGAATACCATCTTCAAAGAACTTAGGGAAGATAGAGAAAACATTTTTACACTACAATATGTTAATCGAATAAATTTCCATATCGACACCTTGAAAGAACATATTAACAATATAGCTGAGAGCCTTCTGGCCAGCAAATTGGGCCTAATCCCAAAATTTTTATTTAATAAACAAGAAATAAATACTATAAGAAATATGTTAACCACACAAAATATTACACTACAACTAGATGAACACATCTATAATATACTTACGCCATCTTGCTTTACTTTTAATAACAAACTATTGTTTAGCGTTAAGATACCAATTTTCGATTCAAAAATTTATAAGTTCACCCACATCATACCCCTACCGATAAATAATTCGCATTTCATCATTTCCCCTGAATTCTTGGCACACAACAACAATATTTTACATCAGTTTCGCGAAAGCTGCCTTAAGGTAGAACAGGAGTTCTTCTGTCAGGGAATTCACGCTGACCCGATGATAAAAAACAACAAATGCCTGGCAGACATCGTCAATAACGAAAAAGAAACAAAATGTGACATGATAGATACAGGCCACGAAACGAACATCTTTGAACCAGAGAAAGGGTTTATCTTCATTTTCAACGGGAAAAACAACACCCTTAAATCAACCTGCAATGGCGAAACACTTTTAAATGGCTCTTTCATAGTACGCTATAAGAATTGTACCATATGGATAAATGGAATAGAATACAGCGACAAAGAACTGGTGGAACACGATCATTTCACCTTTGTACTCCCACCAGTCGTCAAGATAACAAAAAATCAAACGATCAAAGCACTATCATTGGAAAAATTACACTTAGAAGCCCTTTCGACAGCCGGAAAAATTATCAACATGGATAATATTACACACTACAAATTCACGGCCATATATTCAACAATATCATTGATCCTTATCCTGATCGTCATCCTCCGTTTATGTCATAAACCACAGACCATCTTCCTCCCACACCCGCCGACTGTTACTGCCTTGGTGGAGCCGACCATTCCTTCGCTATGGCCCTCTCTCCACTCTAGGGGGGGAGGAGTTACCGCACACATTGTTGCGGACACATCGCCGCCCCCCAAACCTCAGCGACTCAACCAAATGGTCATTAACCCAAACACTGGATACAAACGCTGAGTTTGGGGAACCAACGGAAGTAAGCAGAACCAACACTTAACAGCTACGCGAAACCACAACCAAACAACACACCAGATATGTCAACTAGGCAGATTCTCACCCCACTCGAATCTGCTGGATATGCGAATTCCCGATCACACCATTCCATTCTCATATATTCCACTGTATCCCATAAGTTACTTCTGAGTTTGTAGAACAATAAAGAATCATTATAATTTTGACCGAAGACGAAGCAAGTCCTCTTTTCTTTTGGTATCAGAAGTGGGATATTCCCCCCCCAGTATCAGCAGATACTGTAATTCGCGCGCACTTTGAATCTCAAAAGCTCAAAAAGTGATTTAGTTTTCAGTGTAAATTAAAAATGTTAAAATATTTCAAATTGCAGTAACTGAAAGCTTGCAGAGCGTATTTTCATAAATAACAGTCACAGCAATTTCATATTATATTTCAATTATAATCTATAGTACGGTATCAAAAAAATTTAATTCACAAAATGGTAAAAGTTTCTTTAACTTCAAATGGTTTAAAATATGATTGCCTTTTAGACTTTTTTATCCTGGACAAACAAGATTAACTTATTAATAAACAATTGTCAATCTTAAAAAATTACAATATAAAAAATTCAAAAGTCATTATATATAAAATGGTTGCTATTTAATATAAAGATATTTGAGTGTGAAGGAATGCACGTTGGAATTATGAAGTAAATATGTGAAAACTAAAATATCTGAAAAACAAATAACCCTATAAGAATTTTATTGCGTATTAATCAAGATAAGATTATTATTTTATTTAAGTTCTTATGATTTAAATCAAATTAAAAATACAAATAAATTAAAAATACAAGCAAGAAATCAAGACATTGGTTTGAGTGCCTGCTATAATTTATTCTAGTTTCAAACAGTGGATTGCGCCCAAGCTTAATGGTCTCGTTTTTCAGATTCTGTTGGGTGCCTTGTGGTCACACTATTCCGCACTGGCCACACCAATCTTCATACTCGTGCGAAACGGACGCGAATTTTCATTTGTGCTGCAGAAACCAACAACAATAGACAAAATAAAAACAAATAAAAAAGCGTCGAAAATTCCGGGTAAAAAACAAAAAACGGTGTAAATCAAAAAAACTATCACAGGCAAAAATCAAAACAAATAGCGCAAAGTCAATCCTTCGTTTCAGAAACCAACAAAAAATTAGCGCAACGCGCTTTTTGTCACTCCTTTTTGCATTGCGCCCTTGTTTTTCTTATATTTTGGTTTCCCGAGAATTTAAGATGGTAAACAACTCTTTTTTTGCGGTGTAAGTTTTTTAAGTGCAAAAAAAAAACAAAACCAGTAGATAAAAAAACAGAAACCAAAAAAGCAGCAACAAAAAATCAACAAAACGGAATCAAAGTCAAACAAATTCACCGACAGACAGACGCGGAAGAAGCTCCAAAAAAGACAGGAATAAAGGAAGGAAAAAGGGGAAAAGGAGGAGAGAATCAAAGGTAAGCAAAGGACTGCGAAAAATGGGTTTTTTTTTTTTTTTTTTGGATTTGCATATTTTAAAAGTTTTGTGTTTAGGGGTTGCAAATGCGAAATTAGTTTTTAAAGCCCACTTTTAGGAGCCTCATTTAAGCTTACATCCTGCAAGGATGGCAAAATCATGCCAATAAACTACAGTGGGTAGTCAATATAGTGAACTTTAGTCTCACTCAAGGCAATTGTAAATAATATAAATATTGTGGAACATTAGGAGTAGAATCCATGTGAACGTATACAAAATATAAAGTAATGCAAAACTAATTGTTGAAGTGACCAAAAAGTCTTTGTTATGTGAGTCATACCAATAGCATAAGTAAACTCTTTAATTTTCATTGATTAGTCATTAAAATTTAAACCAACTCAAAAATACATCATATATGTATGTTAAGTTTTATTCGATTTTTATTTTATACCATATTGATTAAAAACTTGTTCGTACAATGATGATATCTAAAATTTTTAAACTTTTTCATAATTTTAGAGAAGTTTTCTTATATATTTTTTTATTTATTAGGGTTTATAAGACAATTATTTTTTTGTGGGCCCTAACTCTGCTGTTTTTAAATTTTTGCACGAGTATGTTTATTAATATTGTTTTCTGTGTTCCTATAAAAATTCATAATTATTGATATTTAGAAAAGGGGGTTTGGGAAAAGCGATCGTGGTCTAAATTGTAAATAATTAACCAAAACGTAAACTTGGCCATGAAGATGGGAGAGAAAAGCAAGTGAATAGGGGGAGCAAGCAGAGAAAGAGGAGAAGGGTAGCAGGAGGACCAGGTGAAATACATAAACAAACAAACGCGCGAAGAGGAAGCTACGCAAATACATAAGTAAATGAATAAATAATGTAAACAAAATATTAAATTAGAAGAAATTTACTTGCGCGCACGCCGACGCAAAAACACGAACACACCGGGGATGAGAAGCGGCTGATGATAATGGGGAGACGGAAAAGGAGAATGATGAGGGGAAGTAAGGAGAAACACACATAAAATTGAAGCACTGAAATTTACACACGCAAAAGCAAACAAAAATTCGCACGCCCTCTCGTTCCCACTTATTGCCACCTGGTCGACCCGTCTCGCTCGCACCCACAGCGGACACTTGTTTTAACCTCTGCCGACGTCGGCAATACTAAAGTGCACTGAAAAAATTGCGATTTCATGTGAACAATTTTTTTTTTTCAAATTTTTGGTTCTAAAAAGTTTTTATTATTAAAATTATGATTATACATAAATTGTTTCTTGTGTGTATCAAAATATGACTGTGCACATGGGCTGTGTTTCAGTAAAGTTCTTAAGTCCCCCTTGGTGAAACATGTTAAGTTGAATTTATTTGTTTTACAATTAAAGTATAAACTGGATAACAGTTTAATTGTAAAAAAAAAATTAAATTAGCTTTCATGTTTTCTGAATGTAAAGAAATGCATTTCATAGGTTTTTTTTTTAAATTTACGCATAACTTTCAGTTGTTTCGAGGTGTTTACGTAAAGCAGTTTCGTATTTTTGTTGCTGTGATAAATAAAAATTTATATTAAAATGAATCACATACTAACGAGGCTTCACTTTACTGCAGTGTCGTACTTTTAGTAGCGAGTGTGCCGATCAGAAGCATTTGTTGCTCTCACTTCCCTTTGTTTGTTTGCCCTGCAACCGACCGAAAGGTGGCGGGCCCGATGGGCGGTGGGTGGTATCGGATTGTGCAATAAAGCTATAATAACAAAAAAAATAAAAAACAAATCGTTACAACAACCGCCATAGCACACTCATCGCACCCACACAAACGCACATTCTGTGGGTTAGAGAGAGAAAACGGAAGGGTGAAAGAGGGGGGCGAAAAAACAATAATCATATTTGCACTCGCTCCCACGATCAGCACCCACGCAAAGAGAAAGAGCGAGAAGGAGATATGGGGAGCGCGAGAGAGGATATGCATCAGAGAGCGCCGATATAGTAGTTAATGGTCAAGAAGAAAAGGACTTGACCAAAAATAAATAATAATGTATGGCATAAATATAATTACAATATTTAATTGTATTTATGTAGTGATTCTTTGATTAGTAGAAGTTAAACAATAGTCTACCAGATCAACATTTTTCTTCAGTGCTTTGAGTGTCTTTTTTAAAAGGTTAAGAGTTAAAAGGTTATAACTGAAACTAATTTAAACCTTAACTTTTTAATTTCCTAATTTGTCCTTTTTTGTTTGGAGGGCCCACTGTACTTAAGATAAAGTCGCTCTCTTCGTATGTCAAGTACTTATTTCTCCGTCGTTTGGCTCTCTGTTCTCAGTTGGTCAGTGTCCGTCCGCCGGAGCTTTTCCCGTTAGTCCGCTCCCATAATAAAATCCGCGATAAACAGGAAAAAACAGAGAGTGAAATTAGAGAGTGAGAGAAGGCAACGTGTTTTTCGGTTTCGGTTTTGGTTTTAATTTCAGTTTCGTTTGCCGCACAGGTTGCAATATTCTTTTCTGTTTTCGTAATTTTTTTTATGTGCGAATATTCACTGTAACTTTTAGTAAAACAAAAAACATTCGGGTGTCACCTGTTGTGAGAAACAGCGGCTGAAAGAATCGGCGAAAGAGAGGGAGAAAGGTAAAAACGAAAAAGAGAAAACTGCTGATCAAACTGTAAATCGCGCAATGATCTTCACAGAATTTGCCAGGCGGGAAAAAACAAACAAATATAAATAAACAGAACTAATAAACAAAAATAGGTAACAAAAACAAAACGTTTGGTTTTGCCAATTAATTAAATACGTAAGTTAAACATTCAAACAAACACCAGTAACTGTGATCGGTAGACGGTAAAAATAATCCACTTAAAGATGTATGTATGTAAATAGGATCAAAAATAATTTTAAAAGGTGCTCTATTTATCAAAAAACATTCTTTAGATTTAAATTTTAAATTCTCCATTTTATCACTGACATAATCCGAGGTATTTTTAATTCATAAGGCCAGAGTCATATTATTCCACCATACTTTTTTTCGGCAACTCATACCCGAGTGGGTGAATTATTAAATTTTTTTTTTATTAAATATCCCATAACTCCAAATAGTATCCCAAGAATTACAAGGAATTTAAAGAGGCGACACAAACACATGCCACATTTAGTAATAGATAATAAATGTATGCCCAGTTCCGGAAATATTGTTATCTCTCATGTGGAAATTGCTTGGTAACAATTGATGGTGTTGTATGCAGTAAATAAACTTAAATTATCATAAATAATCAAAAATCGCTGAGGATTACCCGTTCGAAGATAAAACGTTGGAGGGTAAAACACGATTTTCGTGGATATACAACATCGCTTCGCTTGGATTTCTATATATAGAACTAAGAATAGAAGAGTACAGGTGTTTGTTTGATACTCGTAGTTTTATTCGCCCTACGAATTAAAAAAACGATCGAATAACATATCCAAAATACAGATTTTTTTGCTTAATCAAAGTGGTTTAACCTCGATGAACTGACTCGAAGCTCCATTTACCATATCCATTGGATAGATTTACAAAACCATTCCAATTCGCATTTTCACACCCATTACGACAATTATGGTTCACATTGTATTATGCATTTATCGAGTTAAGGCCTTTTGTGCTGCCGACTCAGTTCACCTCACTTGATTTGAATCAGCGATTCAGTAATTCGGATGACATTGGGCCATCCAATGAGTTTCAATCGTTGAACTGTACACGCGGCGTATGCGTAATTTGTTTAAGGCTCTTCCGGACTTTTTCTTGTTACAAGTAAAAACGAAGAAACTGTCCATAATAAAATCGTTTCATCGCTAACTTACCAATTTTAGAGTAGTTACTTTAAAATGTATTAATTTATTACCTATCATCAAAAACCGTTTGCCGACAAGCCCATCTTTTATGAATGAAATTATAAATATCTATATAAAAATTCTATAAATTATGCGTCACACACAAAATCCAAAATCATTAACCGACAATCAGAACTAAATCGTTGGTATAAGAATTGGTACATAGTAAAACATAATACATAAGCACGTTTGAATCTTTGGTTTCTTTACAATTTTGAATTTCTAATTATCTATTAACCTATTTTATACCCAAACATTTAATTGGTGAACTTAGAGTGTTGCATTTTGAATTTATAAATAAATAGCCCGTTTTTGACTTTACATAAAAATTCAACGCTACAGTCAGATATTTCTACCAAATAAATCACTACCGAACTGTCAATCGTGATTGAACACCATTTCAAAATTAGAATGAATTGTTTCGCGGTCGACCGCAAACCGACAATAATGGATTTGGACAGTCACATTCAGATATTGCAATCAAGTGGGGTGGAAAATACAAATGGGATATGCTCATGCACACATGCCTGGATCATCAAATAACAAATAAAAAACTGCTTAAGCTTTAGAGATCTGTAAACGAAAATTAAAAATTAAAAATGCATTTTGATTTATGAGATTTTCAAGACAAGATTTATTACCATTACGTAATGCCCGGACCCAAAAAATATTGTGACAAAAGGGAAAACAAGAATATTTCTAATATATACGTTGCAACAAATTGATGGTTGGGTGTCCTGAAATGTTCACAAGATCCCAGCTCATAAATGCTCGACCATCGAACTCTCTCCACTTTCCATTGACTGTGCTTATTGTATTCTCAAGATAAACTAATACATTGCGAATAGAAGAAAAATGGTGGAAATCGCTATTCGGAGCAAATTGTCTGCCATCGGCGGTGAGGAAAATGCAGGTGCCAAACAGTCTAGTGACCCGGCAACCATGTGGTACACGCATCCTTGGAAAGTTCCCCAACCGCAGGCTTTCAGGTAGAAAATAAGATATCGTGCCATGCCCAAATTCTTTTTCAGATCCAACAACTCGTTCTGCAGTGCCATATCGATCTGACTTTGGCGCACTTGCTCGTTGTATTTCCTAGATGAAAAAAGGGAGCATGTCAATAAGAACCAGGTACTAAATATAAATTTCTCACAAACAAATTAATAACACCAAAAAAACTCTTCTTTAAATTAACGCTACTTTTAACGTTATTTTACTTTTGTTTTTTTTTTTTAAACAACATACCCTATATTTATCTTAAACCCAAAATGTACTTCATATTAGAGATAAGCGGAAAATATTGAACCGGGGACCTCAAATTAGCAATTTAAATATAGTACCGCCCCCAACTTTAGTAAACTAATGGGCAAACTTACATTTCAAGTTTGGCCAGTTCCTCTTCGCAAAGTTTCAGGCTTTCGTAGGCGGTGTCCAGTTGCTCCTGTTTTTTGCCAAGCGCTACCGACATCTTGTCATTCTGCAGCATGAAATAATCCTTGATAGTTAGAAGCTCATCCTCCAATTGGGCATTCTTGCGCTCCAGTTCGAGTGATCGCCTCTGTTGATTGGCCAATTCTTTGGCTCCTTCGCGATAATTTGTCATTTCCCGGAACATTTCGGTTCGATAGGTGTCCAGCATTTCGGAAAAATATTCGCATTCCAGCGATTTGGATGCCAGGTCACTGTGCAAAGTCGTTTCCCGCTTCCTCAACTCTTTCAGTTCCTTCTCCAATTCGGCGCAATTTTCCATAGTTACGCGAACCCGATTGATAGCCCGCGCAAGTCGAGTGCTAAGCTGTTGACCACGACTCTGCTCGAAGCGAATCATCTGGTTCCGGGTGAACAGCTCGGCTTGGGTGCGAGCGGCCTACGGGGATAAATGGGTGTCAGAAAAATGAAATTACAAATTACGTAAAATAACAAAAAGGAAAACAAAGAACTTTGGCAATATTGTTAAAAACTTAAAAAGTCTTAACTTAAATTTAAATGGTTTAAGGACTCTGTTTAACTCACATCTTCCTGGTAAGTGCGAACTAGAGTGTTAAGGTCGCAAACCTCAGCCTTTCGTCGGCGCCATAGCCTCGCAAGCATTATATTGAAGAACCTAGTGGCTAGTAGGCGGGTTTCCGCATCCATTTGCTGTTCCAGAACGGCCAGATCTGCCAGTTTATTTGCCATTTGGGTGTTCTCCTGGGTTTCCGAATCACTATCACTATTGGGATTCAAGATGGGACTACGACTATGGTTACTATTTATACAGTCACTTGTTCCCCTAGCCACTGGAAGTGGTCTCTCATCCGAGCCGGAGGACATAGGATTGGATATGTTGCTGGGAGGGACCACCTCTGAATCTCTTTTGAGGTAAGGTGGCGCTCCCAATCGGTCCAAGATGCGATGCAGCTCACCTGTTGATTAGAAAAGTTTAACATGTATGTCATGTCGATCGAAACATCGTTTCGATAAAGTCATAAAAAATAGTTATTTTCAACAAAATATCTAAATAACCGATGTAGTATATATTGTATATTAGAAGTGAGTAATAAATATATACAAAATTAAATATCAATATTAATATTGAAGAAAGTTTGAAATATCGGTATGATATCGATGTTATGTTCATCCCCTAAGACTCACCAATACCATCTTGCAACTGACGCTCCACAATTCCCCACGAAGAATTCATCCCCTGATTGGGTATATCACGACAATCAAACGGCCCAACCTGCGGCTCTTGATCCTTAGGTATCGACATGGTGTCCTACTCTAAATCCAATTTTAACAATATGCTCCTTAGCAATAATGCAGTGTTTAATTGCCTTTTAAAGACTAAAAATGACCAAAATATGGTGTGTTGTGTGGAGAGCTGATCTGGAACTGATTTAGACTTTACTTTGATGTCTGTGTGTGCATGTTATTGGCACTGATTGACAGCCCCCTCACAGCAGTCTACTATGTATTGTTGAAAACTCATTTAAAAGGTACAATAAAAACAGTATTCTTCAAAGACTTGAAATATTTAATACACTTTCTAAATTACATGTTGCAAATCCATCCAGAAATTAACATTTCTGTTTAATTGAGTTTAAGGTTGCGTTTAAGGTTGATTAAAGCAAGATTAGATGGTTATTATACCAGAATTTCACCAAATTGAAGTTTGTACTGTAATCGGGGTGGGTAAATGCATCTGTATGGCGACCTTTAACCTCGTTTGGCTTCATTTAATGGCCCGCCTTCAACTCATTTCCTCATTTATTTCCCCACCACGTTGTGTCTATATAGTCGAAATATCAAACGAGAAAATTAAATTATTGACTCACTGACGACGTTGTCGTTCCTGGTTTTCTCCGCTCGTTCAGTTTCTGTTTCTGTTTCTGTTGCTGTTTTGGGGTTTTGGTTTAGGTTTTCCTTTCTTTTTTATTGCCTACGCGCACCGCACGCCATTTTGACAGTTTGGACGCTTTGCAAATAAACTGTAAGGAGGCATGGCGTTGACAGCAGTGACGTCGCGATGCCTGACGCTCCACTGCAATAAAATATTACCCATAAATTGGCTTGGTTTTCTGAGAACTTTTCTTTAAAACTGACATTTAAGAATCTTGTCCATGGAAGCAATCTTAAAACGCGAAATCTTAAGCTTGATTTCGGTTTTAAAAACAGTATTTAACAGTTTAAAAGGAGAATCAAACCTAAGTAAATACTTTTGAAGCGAACATTATTAATCTTCATTTTGTTTTAATCAAATTTTGGGGTTCCAAAATAGATGTTTTATGTTCTGTAAATAAACATATTAATTTTAATCAAATATTTAAAAATTGAAATCTTTCCCTTTTTGTGTGCCACGATAATTTTAATATTAATTAAAATATTATAATATGACAAATATTTTTCTGGGTGTGTTGATAAATGTGTGAGATCAGCGAAATGGGGGGGGGGCACAAAAAGTATGTACAGACTGCAAATGCTCAGGGAATGTACATAGTTACATGTAGTGGGTAACATGTTTTTTTTTTTTTGGACGGGCAATTACCTGGCATCCAAACGGCGGCGGATCCATGGCAGAGGAGATTAGATACGACCCAGGGACACTCGCCACCTCAGAGTCAGACCAAATGTTCTGCACTTAGCATTTGTTGGTTTTGCAAGGATGGCTGGGGAATATCACAAGTATTTGTGCATAAATTGATGAATTTTGTATCTGACATCTGCAAACTGTGAACCAAATTCACTTACTTTTGATCAATAAATTTGTAAAATTTGTTATAATGAATTCAAAGATAATTAAAAGGATTTAATTCAAGAGAATAAACTAAATGAAAATCAGGATTGCTTTAAAATATTTTGCGCTTATACTTACTTCCTGAAAAATCTGTTCGAGTCTTTTTGGTTGACCTATTTGCTTTATGTTGTTTAAAAATCCATGAAGCTAAATAAATTTCTAGTAGCTCTAAACCAATTCGCATATCTTTCCCTAATTAAGGCTTTTAGTTCATGTTAAGCTTGTTGATATATCCAGGCTTCGATACACACTCAAGTGCATATCGTAATTACTTCTCACCGTGTTTATCCGAGAGATACAAGTAGTACTTGAACCGAGAGTGTTTCTAGGTAGTCGAAAGCCAACCAGATGTATCTTTCGCTTTCGATTTGATCAAAGATTGCCGCCACAACAAGGAGGCTAGCACATAAATTCAACAAACCCAAGCCCCAAGGCACCAGCTCGGCAAATCGTGGATGGTGGGGAAATGTGGAATTTTCTGGGAAATCAACGAAAATCGAATCAGGCCCAAAACACACACACACACACACAGGCTGGGAAAACGTGAACAATTTTATTAAAGCAACCGTGTTGCGTAAAAGCCAAAAGGTTTTCCCCACTCCGCTGCTTTTACTCGATTGACCAACTGACGAAATGACAGGAAGTCTGAATGACCTACTGAGAAATGGCCAGCGAAGTACCTTAGATATTATTTAAAGGGCCACTTCATTTTAGTAACTATTAACTTGCCTACGCACCATATTATATATTTGAATTTAAGAAATAAATTTAAACAATATGTGGTTTAAATCCGTTAAATCTATGGAACTTATTTGATATAATTTTATTTTCACAAAAATAAATCGCAGTAATACAAAATTTTAAAGCGCGATAGCTAACGTTCACTTTTATTTTTTTTTATCTTAAAAACTAAGTAAGCTAATGGTGTGACTTTTAAATCATTTTATTTACAATATAAATAAAGTAAATCAAGAGGTATTTTGGTAAATGTATTTCTTCGCATGTCTGAAAAGTTTGCATAGTTTTAATTAAAATATCATTAGGCCAGCGGAATGAATGTTTTTTGAGCCTTGGCAACGCAGTAAGCATAAAACCAAGGGAGTGGATAAAAATGTGTGAGTAATAAAGAAGGTGGGCAAAGAAAAAGGGAGTGAAAGAGGAAGTAGGTTGACTGCAAACATCACCAAACTAATTATGAACAAGTCGAGCAGCAGCAGCAGCGGCAGCAGCATAAAGTCAAGTATCTTTTGCATATGAAAGCAGTTGGGAAATTGGAACGCCAGTGGAAAACCCCATTTTCCTCCAACTCACAGCCCTCTATTCACCATTGATTAAAAGTTTTCATAAAAGTCAACACAGGAGCTCTGGTTTTTGACCAGACCAAAATGCAATTTGCAGTGAAAAGAGTCACAAAAGTTTCCCTGAATTATTCAGCGATTCAAGATGAATTTTTCAACTGTGGAAACATTTTTTGAATGTCCAGATAAACCGGCAATATGTACACACAACAAAACCTTATAAATTCATATTTTTACTAATTTTCAAATGTTTAAAATATTAAAAACATTCAAATTAATGTGAAACAAACTGAGACATTTTTAGTTTTTAATTTAATTAAGTTTAACTCTTGTGATAAATCTAGAATTAAGATAAAGTATCCTAATGTCTACAGAAATCTGTACAAATTAAATTCAAAGGTGCAAAGATTTTAAAGATTATAAGAAGTATTATTATTATTTTTAAAGTATTTGACAATTAAACATGTTAGAAATATTTTGTTTTTTACGAACATTGTTTGTAATTAATGTTAGTTTTAAATTTTCTTTGTGTATTTAACCAAAAATCCTGTGTGGGCGTGGCCCTCACCCTGTCCTGCCGTCCCCGTTTTTTTGTGTATGCCGTAAAGCTGGAGAGCTTATCCCAGGCCGTAGCCCCCCCGGAATTTGCCTCTATATAACGGCCTCCTGCCCTTTTTGCAATTTCGCTGCTCATTTGCCAGCTTTTTTATTTGCATAGCCGTCGTCGTCATCGGTGTTTGTTGCTACTGCTTTTTCGTTACCTTTACCTTCGCCTCACCTGGGCTGCTGTATTTTATTTTATTTGCATTTGTTTGTAAATGATTAACAAAGAGGTTAATGTGCACAGCGAGCGAGATAAACAGCGAACAGGGAATGCCAGCTGAGTTTCAGCCGCTTCTTTTTTTCGTCTTCTTTATTTCTTGTTTGGATTTGCCACGGCAAGGGCAAGGCAATGGGTGGTTTTTAGGGGGTGGCAAAGGGGGTGGTTGGTTCAGCCAGCTGGAGCAGAAAACATACAGCGTACACCAATAGCAAAAACATGGCCTCAAGATTAATACATTGCAATTGGCAACCGAAAAGGAAACAAATTTATAAACTTATATTTTTTTTATAAAATTGAAAATATTTAAAATTTAAAAACTATGTTTAATGCTAAATAAATAAATAAAATAAATTATATTATTATTATTTCACAAAGCTAAAGTTATTTTATTTTAATATATAAAAAAAAACGTTTTAGACTAAATACAGTAAAATAATATTATTAAAACTTATCATCTTTATGCAGTGTGAAGTTATCAAATTATACATTTTGTCAGGTTTATTTGTTTGCCTTAGAAGTGCATGATCTTAGGATTAATTTTTAATATATTAGATAAATTTTTAATATATTTTAATATTTAAATGAAAAGAGTATGCAACTGACAGAATATTATTTCAAACTTGTGCCGAGAAATGGAAATTTAGTTCATTAGGCACCGGCGCTGCATGTCTATGTGAGTGTACCTTTTTTTTCTAGGATCTTAGTGGGAAGTGGGTGGCAACATTTAGAGATGCAACATGGATGACCTTCAGTTACACACACAAATACCATTTCACTGGCGCTCGTGTGGGTGCTCTGGTCGCTCGTCTTTTCTTTTCTTTTATTTTATTTTGTTTGATTTGGAAAATTAAGGCCAAAGCTGCAGCAGCTGAGGGACTTGAAACACATGGTTAGTTTGTATTCGAATGTGTACACAAGCATCCTGTCAACTATTCACATTTTAATATATGTATTTTCTTTATTTTCTCTTTGCAGTTCTCGCATAAATTTCGACCTTAACTTTAAACTCAATGTAGCGGTAAGTTTTTTACTTTTATTATAATTAAAGTAAATTTTAAGTAGAGTAAACTATTATAAACACTTTTAACTTTAAAAAACCCATTCGGATATATAAAGATTGAGTTAAGTAGCAAGTTAGTAAATATAAAAATAATTAAAAGTAAAAAAAAAAATTATTTAAGGTAAAAAACTCAAAGAAGGCAATCAATCAAAGATAAAAAGGTGTTAAATCTTATATTTGCTGCATGTTCTTACAAACTTTTTTCCCCATAGTTTTCCTGCAGCCAAAAATTCTAAATGTTTTTCAAGAATTGATTATGGCGGGCAATCGGAATCGTACTTTTAAAGTGTTAGGTTATTCTTACTACTCTTTTAGTTTCTTGGTCGCTGCTTTTCTTTCGCAAAAAACCCGCCACAACTTTTGAGCTTGGTGAAAAGTTTGTTTTGGTTTTTATTATTTTATTATTATTTGAGTTGGTTCGTTGGCTCCGTTGGTTTATGTATATTTCATATGCCATGAATGGCACACACGCACATTGGCACACACAAAGATACACAAAAACACAGGAACACACACGCACACAAATATGGATACGGATACACACGAATACAATGGGGCAAAAGTTTTGTCATGGATTCAAGTCGGCACGCCTCAATGTATGCAACACACTTGTGGCTCATGTTGTATTAATATAATCACTTTGGGAATTTCCCCCGACTTACAGAGAACACGGTGCAAAATTCACAGTTTGTTAAATAGAAAAATATAAAAGGTAGTTTGTGCATTTTTTATTTGGGTTTTGAATATTATCAACTGTTTAACAAAGCAAATATATAAAAAAAATGTTTCCATTTCATTTTTTTCGTCAATCTATATTTTTAAATATATTTTAATTTATATATACAAATTTTTCAAAATTTGTTATGCATTTAATAATATCAAAGTTACATTTCAAGTATTGTTGTTAAATGACACTATTTTTTTTATATATAATTTTGTATATAGCATAATGTTTGATTGCTTACCTTTTTGGCAGTATAAAAAACCCAAATTTAGAAAATAACCAAAGCTAAACCGCAGGGATTTGAAAACTGGGGTATTTGTGAATATTTATGTTGCATTTAACAAACAAACGTGGTCCAATGCTTGTTGAAATAAACATAAACAAATATAAATATTTACCTATTGCAAAAGCATGATGTTAAACACTTTATTGACGGATTGATTTCCGGTTCAAAATAAATTCCTCTCAGTGAAAAGCAGAAGCAACAACACGAGCATGTTAAATGGATATTAAACTATGAACTACGTCGACTGCGGTGCCCCTGTACCTTTTTTTTTATTTTTATTTTTTGGGGTTCTGGATCTGTACAATTTATCCCCTTGGTTCTACCAAAACTTACCCATTATGTTTCAGTTGATGTTGGCTACCGAGTCCGCATCCCTGATTATGACAGTTATATGTCGTGCGACTGGTTTGGTGAGTCAGTTTCAGCTTCGGTTTACGGGGCGAATGAGTAATCTGCAGTTGAAGCTCCCTCAACCTCAGGAAAACCAGCAAAAACAGGTTAAACCAAATTAAATGACCCGCCAAAATGCAAATGGCGTAAATGATTCGGTTGCGGTTGTTAGTTCATTGGGTTGGTCTATGATTTTTGGTGATTTCTCGAAGTTTCTGGGCATAAGTACAATATTAGTTGTGGATTTCTCTAAAAGAGGGTTTAATCATTCAAAATTTTAAAAATGTAAAAAATATATATAATCAGTTAATTTTTTCTGTCAGTTGATTTTGTTATGAGTGCAGTATTAATGATTGAGGTTTAAATAACATATAGTTACTCAAATTGTTTGTATAATTTATCTAACATTTTCAATCGATGATTTGCCATCTCAATTAATAGAGAATGACTTGTGCAGAGTATTTCGAAAATGATATTAGCGCACAAGTTTTCTAATCTTACTTTGGCCTTTTTCGGTCTATGGCAAAAGTGCCCCCTCTTCCCCCACTTTTCCCATCACTTTTGCGGCCTTAGTTTTTGGGCCTTTGTTTTAGCCTCGTTTTCCTTTTGTCATAATTTGGGCATGTTAATTTGCCGGGCTTATGGCTTTTGAGTGGCGTGCCGTGCGTATCCTTGTCGACCCTCAACCGCTGTCCTTTCCCCTCCTCCGACCATATTCCTTTCCACCCCACCCATTTTTCTCAGTGTTTTCCATGGCCAGAAATAACACACTCACACACAAACACACACACACAGACAGATGGATGGGTGGCCATCAAAAAGTGTAGCATACAGTTTTGCGTCGCTTATGTAATGCAATGCTCGAGCATCTGACGTTGTCTGCCTTGACTTTCATGCGTGCGTAAGTGTGTGCGTAGTGAAAGAGATTGAGGGAAAGCAGGAGAAAGTGAAGGAAATACAGACTAAGAGAAAGAGAGACAGGGACAGAACGAGATAGTGTTTGGAATGGACCTGGCTACGTACGTGCACATACATAAAAACGTCCGCCTAATGTTGGCGTCATTAGCCGCGCCACCAACAAAAACGCCCCCTTTCCCTTGACCTACCCCTCTCTCACACTTTCACCTCCATCCCATTCCTTTTCACCATTATTATGCCTTGAGCATGACTTTCCTTGTGACTGAATTCTCGCCAGTCTATATTTTGCACTGAGCAATAGGTTTTACTTTGAAATATAAAATAAAAATTAGATGATATAGTTTTAACTTTTGATTATTATACACTAAACAATTTAAGGTATATCTTAACATTTAAAGATTTGTCGATAATAATTTTAAGGAATACTCTTAAATAGCTTCGTGTTCGAAATCAACAAAGTAATAATGATGGTGTACTTTTAGCCTTGTTTTAATTTTAATCTTACTAAGATAAAAACAGCTAAATAAAAACTATGTGTATAAACTATTCAAAATGTATTTCAAATTATTTGAAAATAATAATGTATTTCAAATTATTATTTTAAAATAATTTGAAATTTTAGAAACAACAATTTGTTATGTATGATGTGGATTTTGATGACGAACCGATTTACTTAAAGGTTCCAAGAAGTTTATTTTGCTTTGATTGCGGATGGATGGTTGTTAGCCAAATGGTTAGTTGGCTGGACCTGTGTGGCTTTCGGCACCTCCAGCACCGTCCAGAAATCACCCAAAAACCACCCACTCGTAATGCTGATGACATTGGTGGCAGACTGCACTCAAAATAGCGAAACTTAGGGCAATCTTGCGCAGGCGGCGCATCTCATCAGACCAGGAATGTGGAATATAAAACCCATGAGATCGGGCCTTTTTGGGAGGAGGTGAAATGAGGACAAGAAGAGAATAATGGCGTCACTTCCACAGACACACTAACACACACATACACCCTGGCCAGGAAAGTCACACACACACACACCCAAACACCACCATTTTGTTGACTAATGATTTACAAAATATCCTGCTGAGCTGCCGTCACATGCATGGCGCACAAGTCAGGAGGACACTTCTCCTTTTACACTTGAAAAAAACCCCTCAATATTAATAATAATAAAATTAATTAAACCTTACAAAATCCCATGATTTTCAATTAATCAAGATTAATCAAATGGATATATAATTATAATTCTCATTTTTATCTTAAAAAATTTTTTTATTTCTCTTTGAAAATGTAACAACCTATGTTTTTTTTTTTTTTTGTTTTGTAAGAACAATATTTTACTTCCATACAAAATGTGTAAAAAAATGTTTAAGAAATTTGTTTTTATTTATAATAATGAAAATTATTTCTAAAAAGGGCTATAATTTATATGTTAAAAGATTTACGTTTACGGGATTATAGTGTTTTTAGTGCAATTTCTTAATTTCAGCTTAATTTGAGTTTTTTCGAGAATGTCGTTTAATGGAATACTTTTTCGCAGTGTTTGAGCATTTGTAGCCTTTCACTTTTTCCTTTTTTTATCCCTCGATTGGATGACAATTACGAACAAGGCATTAGAATTCAACGTCTAATCGGAATGGATCAATGTCAACAGCCCCATCTCGTGGCTTCTTTACTCTTTTGCCTTGGTCTTCAATTAGAGAATCAAGAAGCAAGTGCAATCGAAAATCATATCGCTGGGCGGGGTTTTCTGCGGATTCGAGGGACCTAGCGGGGTGGTGAGTCTTTAAGATCCGGAGATGAGGATGAGGATGACGATGACGATGCCAACGATGTGTCTATGGCCGACACATGAATGTGTAACCATGTCTAGCACATTATTTACACAATACGCCCAAGTTAATTGGTGCCGGGGCCATCACCATCTCCACTAAGCCTCTCGCACATCAGACATATTTGTGTGCTGTTTATAAATGGATACAGGATTCCACGAGGACCCTGACAGACAGGCATACAGACAAACAGACAGACAGACAGACAGACGGACGGACAAACAGACAGACAGACAGACAGAGGGATATAGACTGGGCTTTCGAGGACCTCCCGTCCCGTCCCGTCCCGTCCCGTCCCGTCAAAGTGTGCGCAATTAATTATTTGTCATTGGTTTTGCCCACCAGTTTGTTTCGTTGTCTCTTCATATCCCCAACTGAATGTCGTTTCGAGGAGCAAATTATCGTATCGGTTAAGAGCTTTGCGCTATTTGGATTGGGTTTTAGCAGGTGGACTCCGATTTTTAACATATAATTTATAATTCTATTGGATTTATTTAAATCTTTTAATCGAATCTATCGATTCCGGCTGCTATTTCATCCACATATATATATATATATATATTGAGCAAAGGGTCATTGAACTGAGAATGTCGATGTATTAATTTGGCAGAAGTAAGTTCTTCGTCATTTGAGCATTTCAAATTGATGATTGCTTTGTTGTACGCTTTGTGCTAACTTTGTTGTTCCCCTCAGTGTTTTGTGTTTTTTGTATATACCTATATTTTTGTTTTGTTTTGCCAATGAACAAAGCTAACACCATTGTGCTAGCTATTAAGGGGGAGGCAGAGAGGCTTGGCATTCATTTTCAACT